CGGCGGGGGTGCCCTGCGCGCCGCCCCGCTCCACGGCCGCTGTGTCCCGCAGGCAGCGCCCGCCGGCCGCCCGTCATGGAGGAGAGCCCGGACTGGGCCACCCTGAGCCCCGAGGAGTTCGCCCACCTGCAGAAGTACCTGGACTGTGAGTGCGCGGGCAGCGCAGGGTGCAGGCTCGCGTGGGCGGGGGGGTGCATGCGGTGCTACGTGCGCTGGGGGGAGCTCGCATGCACCAGCATGCAAGTATGCGCTCCCTGCCAGCTTGCACGCGTGCTCCGCGGTGGCTTTGTGCGCGGGCGTGCATGCCCCCTGTGAGCCTGGCGTGTGCGTGCTCCTCTGTGGCGTTGCACGCTTGCGCATGCCCCCTGGCAGCCTGGCATGCGTGTGTGCGCTCGCCGGGAGCTTTGCATGCGTGGGGCCTGGCACGTGCCCGCGCACCGGAGGGCAGCCCCGCACAGCCGTGCACGGCGCTGGGCGCCGGCCGCGTGCCCCGCGCATGCTCCGCAGTGCCCGCGCGCTCTCCGCCCCCAGACAGCAGCAGGAAGGTGCAGGATGTGCTGCAGGACTTCTACGGCACCGGCGCCCTGTCCCAGCACCGGCAGGGCGAGGTGAGCGCCGGCGCCCGGGCGGCCGCCGCGGGGACGGCCCTGCGCCCCCCCAGCCGCCCCCATCGCCCGCTCTGCCCCCCAGTGCGTCGACTTCGAGGGCTTCAAGCTCTTCCTGAGGAGCTACCTGGAGGCGGACGACGTCCCCGACGCGCTCTGCCGCCACCTCTTCCGCTCCTTCCAGACCTCGGCCACCGGGCAGCCGGGCCCCGCCGACGGTGAGGGCTGTGCGGGGGTCACGGCGGGGCGGGGGATCGGAGCGGGCCCGGGGGGGGTCTCAGTGCTGCCCCCCCAACAGGCAGCGGCCTCGTCTGCATTAACGACGTCTCCTGCTACTTCTCGCTGCTGGAGGGGGGGCGCCCCGAGGACAAGCTGGAGTGTGAGTGGGGGCTGCGCGGCCGGGGAGGGGGCACCCTGGAGCCGGGGGGGACGTGGTGGCCCCCCCTCACCCGAACTGTCCCTCCCAGTCACCTTCAAGCTCTATGACAAGGACGGCAATGGGCTCCTGGACAGCTCGGTGAGTGGGGGGGGAGCGGGAGCCATGGCAGGGCCCCCCCCGCCCCGTGCCCGCTGACCCCCTGCCCCCCCAGGAGGTGGATCGGATCATCACGCAGATGATGCGGGTGGCCCAGTACCTCGACTGGGACGTCACGGAGCTGAAGCCGGTGAGCGGCGCTGGGGGGCAGCCGCGGCGGGGGGCGGGTTGTGGGGCAGCCCCCCGCGTGCCCGCCGACGAGCGGCCCCGCGTCGCCCAGATCCTGCAGGAGATGATGCGGGAGATCGACTACGACGGCAGCGGGACGGTGTCGCTGGCCGAGTGGCTGCGCGGCGGCGTCACCAACATCCCGCTGCTGGTGCTGCTGGGCCTCGAGGGGGTGAGTGCGGGGCGGGTGGGGCAGGGCCCCCCGGCCCGGCCCCGCTGACCCCCCCCGGCCGCCCCGCGCAGCACATGAAGGACGACGGGCAGCACATGTGGCGCCTGAAGCACTTCAAGCGGCCGGCGTACTGCAACGTGTGCGAGACGCTGCTGCTGGGGCTGCGCAAGCAGGGGCTCTGCTGCACCTGTGAGGGCGGCGCGGGGACGCGGCGCGCGCCCCTGCCCGCGGGCACGGGCACAGGGACCTGGCGGGCATGGGGGGAGCCCGGGGGAGGGATGGGCAGGGATAGCTTTGGAGCTGGGGACAGGAACTGGATGTAGATGGGGAGGGGACAGGGAGAGAGGATGGGGATGGGGACAGGGACATGATGGTGCCATGGCGGCTGGAGCGGGGACAGAATGGGGATGGGAATGGGGATAGCGAAGGGGATGCGATGGGGGTTGGGGTGGCACGGGGATGGGGTTAGGGACGGGGCCCAGGTGGGACAGGGATGGTGACGGGAATGGCGATGGCCTTGGGGACGGGAACAAGGACCCTGATGGGGCAGGGATGGGATGGCACCGGGAAGGAGTTGGGGACAGGGACGGGGATATGATGGGGGTGGGGACAGGGATCAGCCCCCTGCACCCCCCCCTGCCCTGGACCTGCTCCAGCTGTGCTGGGAGGCCCCGCCCCGTCCAGCTGTGCTGAAGCCCCACCCACATGGGCGGGGCCACAGTGGGCACATCCCCTGGGATGTGATTGGTCACCCTGCAGGGGGTGGGGCCAAGCCGCAGTGTGGGTGTGGCCACACGCGGGTGTGAGCGGTCAGGCCCCGCCCCCGCTGATGGCCACGCCCCCCCGCAGTCTGCAAGTTCACGGTGCACGAGCGCTGCGCCCGCAAGGCCCCCCCGAGCTGCATCAGCACCTACGCCAAGTCCCGGCGCGAGGCCGGCGTGAGTGCCCGTCCCTGCGCCCCTGTGTCCGTCCCTCTCCTCACCCCTCCGTCCGTCCCTCCGTCCGTCCACCTGCTTTGTCAGCCCGCCGGGCCCCGTCCTCGTCGTCCTGTCCATCCGTCCGTGTGTCCTCCGAGCTGCTCTGCCATCAGCGCCCGTGGCTGCCCACCCGTGTGCCCGTCCGTCCGTCTGTCTGTCCGCCCTGTCGTTGCCATGCGCAGCCCGCCGTGCGTGCGTCCCCGCCCGCCCGCGGCCTCGCGGCGCCAGGGCCGGCGGCAGGTGACGCGCGGGGCCGCGCGCAGGTGCAGGCCCACGTGTGGGTGAAGGGCGGCTGCGAGCCCGGCAAGTGCGGCCAGTGCCACAGGAAGATCAAGAGCTTCCAGAGCCTCACGGGGCTGCACTGCGTGTGGTGCCACCTCCAGGTGGGTCCGGCCCCGTGGCCGCCGCGGCGCCCCCGGCGCCGCCACGCTCACCGCGCTGGCTCCCCAGATCCACGAGGAGTGCGTGGCCGGCGTGCCGCCCACCTGCGACTGCGGCGCGCTGCGCGACCACGTCCTGCCGCCCTCTGCCATCTACCCCGTGCTGCTGGTGAGTGCGGCGCCGGGGGCTGCGCGAGGGGCCCAGGCGTCCGGGCAGCGCTGACGCGGCAGCTGCGGCGCCGCCGCTGCCCGCAGGAGCGGCAGGACAGCCAGAAGGACGGCGGCGGGACGCCCACGGAGGAGGCGCCGCAGGCGTTCACCACCCCCGAGGGGCAGCCGCTGCGGGTGAGCCCGGGGCACGGGCGCCGGCGCGGGGCCGTGGGGGGGTCACCGCGGCCCCTCACGGCCCCCTGGCCCCCCAGGTCAGCCCCGTGCCCGACACCCACCCGCTGCTCGTCTTCGTCAACCCCAAGAGCGGAGGGAAGCAGGGCGAGAGGTGAGGGTGGCTCCGCGCGGTGACGGTGGCTCCGCGCGGTGACCAGGCCTCGGCCCCCCCACCTGAGCCGTCCCCCGTCCCCAGGGTGCTCCGCAAGTTCCAGTATCTGCTCAACCCGCGGCAGGTCTACAACCTGCTGCAGGGCGGACCGAGCGCCGGGTGAGCCGGGCCCCGGGGTGCGCGCCGGGCGCCCCCGCCGGCCCTGACCCTCCTGCCCCACCCAGGCTCAATTTCTTCCGGGATGTGCCCGATTTCCGCGTCCTCGTGTGCGGCGGGGACGGCACGGTGGGCTGGATCCTGGACGCCATCGGTGGGTGCCGGCGGTGTCACAGGCAGGGTGAGTGCCGGGGGCAGCCCCGTGACCGTCCCTCTCCCTGCAGATAAGGCCAACCTGCCCCGGCGGCCACCGGTGGCCGTGCTGCCCTTGGGGACCGGCAACGACCTGGCCCGCTGCTTGCGCTGGGGTGGAGGTCAGCGGGACACGGTGGCCTTGGCCTGGTGTGGGGTGGGGGGGCTGTGCCCAGGACTCCTTGGGGACCCCCGTGCTGTCCCCTTGCGCCTCCCGCCTGCAGGCTACGACGGGGAGAACCTGCTGAAGATCCTCAAGGAYATCGAGGGCAGCAGCGTGGTGCACATGGACCGCTGGCACGTGCAGGTGCTGCCCGAGAGCCCCGCGGCCGCGGGCGACCCCGTCCCCTACGAGATCATCAACAACTACTTCTCCATCGGGGTGGTGCGTGGGGGCCGGGGGGCGGGCGGGGGGGGCCGTGTCGCCGCTGACCCCCCTCGCCCCGCCGCAGGACGCCTCCATCGCTCACCGCTTCCACGTCATGCGCGAGAAGTACCCGGAGAAGTTCAACAGCAGGTGGGTGAGCGGCGGCGCCGGCCCCCGCAGCCCCCTGCCTGTCCCCCCCTGCCCGTGTCCCCCCCGATGTCCCCAGGATGAAGAACAAGCTCTGGTACTTGGAGTTCGCCACCTCCGAGACCATCTTTGCCACCTGCAAAAAGCTCAAGGAGTGTCTGACCATTGAGGTGAGCGGAGAGGGGGGACGAGGACGTGGCGGGGGGCCCACGCRCGTCCCCGTGCTGACCTGTCCCCCCCGCAGTGCTGCGGGACCCCCCTGGACCTGAGCGGGGCGCTCTCGGGGGTGGCCGTGCTCAACATCCCCAGCATGCACGGAGGCTCCAACCTGTGGGGCGAGACCAAGCGGCCGCTGGGCGAGGGGCGGCCGGCGGCGGGCGCCGCGCAGCCCCCGGCCGTCACCGACGCCGAGACGCTCAAGACGTGTGTGCAGGGTGCGTGGGGCACCGCGCAGGGACGGGGTCGCCCCCCCGCCTTGTGTGACCGTCCCCGCGTGTCCCCAGATCTGAGCGACCAGCGGCTGGAGGTCGTGGGCCTGGAGGGCGTCCTTGAGATGGGGCAGATCTACACGGGGCTCAAGAGCGCGGGCAAGCGGCTGGCCAAGTGCTCCGAGATCACCCTGCGGTGAGCGCCCGCGGAGCCCCGCACCGGCGAC